ACACACACAGCACACACACACAGCACACACAGTACACACACACAGTACACACACACAGCACACACAGTACACACACACAGCACACACACACACACAGCACACACACACAGCACACACACACAGCACACACACACAGCACACACACACAGCACACACACACAGCACACACACACACAGCACACACACACACAGCACACACACACAGCACACACACACAGCACACACAGCACACACACAGCACACACAGCACACACAGCACACACAGCACACACACACAGCACACACACAGCACACACAGCACACACAGCACACACACAGCACACAAACACAGCACACACACAGCACACACACACAGCACACACACACAGCACACACACACACAGCACACACACACAGCACAGCGCACACACAGCACACACACACACAGCACACACACACACAGCACACACACACAGCACAGCGCACACACAGCACACACACACAGTACACACACAGCACACACACACACAGCACAGCGCACACACACAGCACACACAGCACACACACACAGCACACAGTGAGAGTGAGTGTGAGTGTCTCTGAGAATCTCTGTGAGTGTCTCTGTGAGTGTCTCTCAGTGTGTCTCTGAGTGTGTCTCTGAGTGTGTCTCTGTGTGTGTCTCTGTGTGTGTCTCTGAGTGTGTCTCTGAGTGTCTGTGAGTGTCTCTGTGTGTGTCTCTGTGTGTGTCTCTGTGAGTGTCTCTGTGTGTGTCTCTGTGAGTGTCTCTGAGTATCTCTGAGTGTGTCTCTGTGTGTGTCTCTGTGTGTGTCTTTGTGAGTGTCTCTGTGAGTGTCTCTGTGAGTGTCTCTGTGTGTGTCTCTGTGTGTGTCTCTGTGTGTGTCTCTGTGAGTGTCTCTGTGTGTGTCTCTGTGAGTGTCTCTGTGAGTGTCTCTGTGTGTCTCTGTGTGTCTCTGTGAGTGTCTCTGTGAGTGTCTCTGTGTGTGTCTCTGTGAGTGTCTCTGTGTGTGTCTCTATGAGTGTCTCTGAGTGTGTCTCTGTGTGTGTCTGTGTGCGTCTCTGTGTGTGTCTCTGTGAGTGTCTCTGAGTATCTCTGAGTGTCTCTGTGAGTGTCTCTGAGAGTGTATCTGTGTGTGTCTCTGTGTGTGTCTCTGTGTGTGTCTCTGTGAGTGTCTCTGTGAGTGTCTCTGTGTGTGTCTCTGTGTGTGTCTCTGTGTGTGTCTTTGTGAGTGTCTCTGTGAGTGTCTCTGTGAGTGTCTCTGTGTGTGTCTCTGTGTGTGTCTCTGTGTGTGTCTCTGTGTGTGTCTCTGTGAGTGTCTCTGTGTGTGTCTCTGTGAGTGTCTCTGTGAGTGTCTCTGTGAGTGTCTCTGTGAGTGTCTCTGTGTGTCTCTGTGTGTGTCTCTGTGAGTGTCTCTGTGAGTGTCTCTGTGTGTGTCTCTGTGAGTGTCTCTGTGTGTGTCTCTGAGTGTGTCTCTGTGTGTGTCTCTGTGTGTGTCTGTGTGCGTCTCTGTGTGTGTCTCTGTGAGTGTCTCTGTGAGTGTCTCTGAGTATCTCTGAGTGTCTCTGTGAGTGTCTCTGAGAGTGTATCTGTGTGTGTCTCTGTGTATCTCTCTGTGTGTGTCTCTGTGAGTGTCTCTGTGTGTGTCTCTGTGTGTGTCTCTGTGTGTGTCTTTGTGAGTGTCTCTGTGAGTGTCTCTGTGAGTGTCTCTGTGAGTGTCTCTGTGTGTGTCTCTGTGTGTGTCTCTGTGTGTGTCTCTGTGTGTGTCTCTGTGAGTGTCTCTGTGTGTGTCTCTGTGAGTGTCTCTGTGTGTGTCTCTGTGAGTGTCTTTGTGAGTGTCTCTGAGTATCTCTGTGAGTGTCTCTGTGTGTCTCTGTGAGTGTTTCTCTGTGTGTGTCTCTGTGAGTGTTTCTCTGTGTGTGTCTCTGTGAGTGTCTCTGTGAGTGTCTCTGTGAGTGTCTCTGTGTGTGTCTCCGTGTGTGTCTCCGTGTGTGTCTCCGTGTGTGTCTCTGTGAGTGGCTCCGTGTGTGTCTCTGAGTGTCTGTGAGTGTCTCTGAGTGTCTCTGTGAGTGTCTCTGTGAGTGTCTCTGAGTGTGTCTCTGAGTGTCTCTGTGAGTGTCTCTGTGAGTGTCTCTGAGTATCTCTGTGAGTGTCTCTGTGTGTGTCTCTGAGTGTGTCTCTGAGTGTCTCTGTGTGTGTCTCTGAGTATCTCTGTGAGTGTCTCTGAGTGTCTCTGTGTGTGTCCCTGTGAGTGTCTCCGTGTGTGTCTCCGTGTGTGTCTCTGAGTGTCTGTGAGTGTCTCTGTGTGTGTGTCTGTGTGTGTCTCTGTGAGTGTCTCTGTGTGTGTCTCTGTGTGTGTCTCTGTGAGTGTCTCTGAGTGTCTCTGAGTGTCTCTGAGTGTCTCTCTGAGTGTCTCTGTGAGTGTCTCTGTGTGTGTCTCTGAGTATCTCTGTGAGTGTCTCTGTGTGTGTCTCTGAGTATCTCTGTGAGTGTCTCTGTGTGTGTCTCTGAGTGTGTCTCTGAGTGTCTCTGTGTGTGTCTCTGTGAGTGTCTCTGTGTGTGTCTCTGTGAGTGTCTCTGTGTGTGTCTCTGTGTGTGTCTCTGTGAGTGTCTCTGTGTGCGTCTCTGTGAGTGTCTCTGTGTGTGTCTCTGTGAGTATCTCTGTGTGTGTCTCTGTGAGTGTCTCTGTGTGTGTCTCTGTGTGCGTCTCTGTGTGTGTCTGAGTGTCTGTGAGTGTCTCTGTGTGTGTCTCTGTGTGTGTCTCTGTGTGTGTCTCTGTGTGTGTCTATGAGTGTCTCTGTGAGTGAGTGTCTCTGTGTGTGAGTGTGTGAGTATCTGAGTGTGAGTGTGTGTGAGTATCTGAGTGTGTACGAGTGAGTGTGAGTATCTGTGTGCGAGTGTGTGTGAGTGTGACGTACCATGTACCGTACGTAGGGGTACGTACACACACAGTCTAGTGTGTGTGTGTGTGAGTGTGTATGAGTGTGTGTGAGTGTGTGAGTGAGTGTGTGAGTGTGTGTGTGAGTGTGTGTGAGTGTGTGTGAGTGTGTGTGAGTGAGTGTGTGTGAGTGTGTGAGTGTGTGTGAGTGTGTGAGTGTGTGTGAGTGTGTGTGAGTGTGTGAGTGAGTGTGTGTGTGAGTGTGTGAGTGTGTTAGTGTGACGCACCGTGTACCGTACGTAGGGGTACGTACACACACAGTCTAGTGTGTGTGAGTGTGTGTGAGTGTGTGAGTGTGTGTGAGTGTGTGTGAGTGTGTGTGAGTGTGTGAGTGTGTGTGAGTGAGTGTGTGAGTGAGTGTGTGAGTGTGTGTGAGTGTGTGAGTGTGTGTGAGTGTGTGAGTGTGTGTGAGTGTGTGTGTGAGTGTGTGTGTGAGTGTGTGTGAGTGTGACGTACCGTGTACCATACGTAGGGGTACGTACACACACAGCCTAGTGTGTGTGTGAGTGTGTGTGAGTGTGTGTGAGTGTGTGTGAGTGTGTGTGTGACGCACCGTGTACCGTACGTAGGGGTACGTACACACACCGCCTAGTGTGTGTGTGAGTGTGTGTGTGAGTGAGTGTCTGAGTGTGTGTGAGTGTGTGTGAGTGTGTTTGTGAGTGAGTGTGTGTGAGTGTGAGTGTGTGTGACGTACCGTGTACCGTACGTAGGGGTACGTACACACACCGCCTAGTGTGTGTGTGAGTGTGTGTGAGTGTGTGTGAGTGTGTGTGTGAGTGTGTGCGAGTGTGTGTGAGTGTGAGTGTGTGTGACGTACCGTGTACCGTACGTAGGGGTACGTACACACACAGTCTAGTGTGAGTGTGTGTATGAGTGTGTGTGTGAGTGTGAGTGAGTGTGTGTGAGTGTGTGTGTGTGTGAGTGTGTGTGAGTGTGTGTGTGAGTGTGTGTGTGAGTGTGTGTGTGAGTGTGTGTGAGTGTGTGTGTGTGAGTGAGTGTGTGTGAGTGTGTGTGAGTGTGTGTGAGTGTGAGTGTGTGAGTGTGTGTGAGTGTGTGTGTGAGTGTGTGTGAGGGTGTGTGAGTGTGTGTGTGAGTGTGTGTGAGTGTGTGTGAGTGTGTGTGTGAGTGACGTACCGTGTACCGTACGTAGGGGTACGTACACACACAGTCTAGTGTGAGTGTGTGAGTGTGTGTGAGTGTGAGAGTGTGTGAGTGTGTGTGAGTGTGTGTGAGTGTGTGTGAGTGAGTGTGAGTGTGTGAGTGTGTGTGAGTGTGAGTGAGTGTGAGTGTGTGTGTGAGTAAGTGTGAGTGTGTGTGAGTGTGAGTGTGTGTGTGAGTGTGTGTGAGTGTGTGTGAGTGTGTGTGAGTGTGTGTGTGAGTGTGTGTGAGTGTGTGTGTGAGTGTGAGTGAGTGTGTGAGTGTGTGTGAGTGTGTGTGTGAGTGTGTGTGAGTGTGTGTGAGTGAGTGTGTGTGAGTGTGTGTGAGTGAGTGTGTGTGAGTGTGTGTGAGTGTGTGTGAGTGTGAGTGTGTGAGTGTGTGTGAGTGTGTGTGTGAGTGTGTGTGAGGGTGTGTGAGTGTGTGTGTGAGTGTGTGTGAGTGTGTGTGAGTGTGTGTGTGAGTGACGTACCGTGTACCGTACGTAGGGGTACGTACACACACAGTCTAGTGTGAGTGTGTGTGTGAGTGTGAGAGTGTGTGAGTGTGTGTGAGTGTGTGTGAGTGTGTGTGAGTGAGTGTGAGTGTGTGAGTGTGTGTGAGTGTGAGTGAGTGTGAGTGTGTGTGTGAGTAAGTGTGAGTGTGTGTGAGTGTGTGTGTGAGTGTGTGTGAGTGTGTGTGAGTGTGTGTGAGTGTGTGTGTGAGTGTGTGAGTGTGTGTGTGAGTGTGTGAGTGTGTGTGTGAGTGAGTGTGTGAGTGTGTGTGTGAGTGAGTGTGTGTGAGTGTGTGTGAGTGTGTGTGAGTGTGTGAGTGTGTGAGTGAGTGTGTGTGTGACGTACCGTGTACCGTACGTAGGGGTACGTACACACACAGCCTAGTGTGTGTGTGAGTGTGTGTGAGTGTGTGTGAGTGTGTGTGAGTGTGTGTGTGACGCACCGTGTACCGTACGTAGGGGTACGTACACACACCGCCTAGTGTGTGTGTGAGTGTGTGTGTGAGTGAGTGTCTGAGTGTGTGTGAGTGTGTGTGAGTGTGTGTGTGAGTGAGTGTGAGTGAGTGTGAGTGTGTGTGACGTACCGTGTACCGTACGTAGGGGTACGTACACACACCGCCTAGTGTGTGTGTGAGTGTGTGTGAGTGTGTGTGAGTGTGTGTGAGTGTGTGTGTGAGTGTGTGCGAGTGTGTGTGAGTGTGAGTGTGTGTGACGTACCGTGTACCGTACGTAGGGGTACGTACACACACAGTCTAGTGTGAGTGTGTGTATGAGTGTGTGTGTGAGTGTGAGTGAGTGTGTGTGAGTGTGTGAGTGTGTGTGAGTGTGTGTGAGTGTGTGTGTGAGTGTGTGAGTGTGTGTGAGTGTGTGTGTGAGTGTGAGTGAGTGTGTGAGTGTGTGTGAGTGTGTGTGTGAGTGTGTGTGAGTGTGTGTGTGAGTGAGTGTGTGTGAGTGTGTGTGAGTGAGTGTGTGTGAGTGTGTGTGAGTGTGTGTGAGTGTGAGTGTGTGAGTGTGTGTGAGTGTGTGTGTGTGAGTGTGTGTGAGGGTGTGTGAGTGTGTGTGTGAGTGTGTGTGAGTGTGTGTGAGTGTGTGTGTGAGTGACGTACCGTGTACCGTACGTAGGGGTACATACACACACAGTCTAGTGTGAGTGTGTGTGTGTGAGTGTGTGTGAGTGTGAGAGTGTGTGAGTGTGTGTGAGTGAGTGTGAGTGTGTGTGTAAGTGTGAGTGTGTGTGAGTGTGTGTGTGAGTGTGTGTGAGTGTGTGTGAGTGTGTGTGAGTGTGTGTGAGTGTGTGTGAGTGTGTGTGTGAGTAAGTGTGAGTGTGTGTGAGTGTGTGTGTGAGTGTGTGTGAGTGTGTGTGAGTGTGTGTGAGTGTGTGTGTGAGTGTGTGTGTGACGTACCGTGTACCGTACGTAGGGGTACGTACACACACAGTCTAGTGTGAGTGTGTGTGTGAGTGTGTGTGTGAGTGTGTGTGAGTGTGTGTGAGTGTGTGTGTGAGTGTGTGTGTGAGTGTGTGTGTGACGTACCGTGTACCGTACGTAGGGGTACGTACACACACAGTCTAGTGTGTGTGTGTGAGTGTGTGTGAGTGTGTGTGTGAGTGTGTGTGTGTGACGTACCGTGTACCGTACGTAGGGGTACGTACACACACAGTCTAGTGTGTGTGTGTGAGTGTGTGTGTGAGTGTGTGAGAGTGTGTGTGAGTGTGTGTGAGTGTGTGAGTGTGTGTGAGTGTGTGTGTGTGACGTACCGTGTACCGTACGTAGGGGTACGTACACACACAGTCTAGTGTGTGTATGTGAGTGTGTGTGAGTGTGTGTGTGTGTTTGTGTGTGAGTGTGTGTGTGTGACGTACCGTGTACCGTACGTAGGGGTACGTACACACACAGTCTAGTGTGTGTATGTGAGTGAGTGTGAGTGTGTGTGTGTGTTTGTGTGTGAGTGAGTGTGTGTGTGACGTACCGTGTACCGTACGTAGGGGTACGTACACACACAGCTGCGTACTGCGGCAGGAGCTGCTTCATGCGCAGGTCTCCCTGGGCCTCCAGCAGGGGGTCGGGCAGGACCCTGCAAACAGCAGCAGCAGTGTCATCATCATCATCAGCAGTGTCATCAGCAGTGTCATCAGCAGTGTCATCATCATCAGCAGCAGTGTCATCAGCAGTGTCATCATCATCAGCAGCAGTATCATCATCATCATCATCAGCAGTGTCATCATCATCAGCAGCAGTGTCCTCATCATCATCATCATCAGCAGTGTCATCATCAGCAGTGTCATCATCATCGTCAGCAGCGTCATCATCAGCAGTGTCATCAGCAGCAGCAGTGTCAGCAGCGTCATCATCATCAGCAGCGTCATCATCAGTAGTGTCGTCATCAGCATCATCAGCAGCAGCAGTATCATCAGCAGCAGCGTCGTCGTCATCATCAGCAGCAGTGTCATCATCAGCAGCAGTGTCATCATCATCAGCAGCAGTGTCATCATCATCATCATCAGCAGCAGTGTCATCATCAGCAGCAGCGTCATCATCAGCAGCAGCGTCATCATCAGCAGCAGCGTCATCATCAGCAGTGTCATCATCAGCAGCAGTGTCATCATCAGCAGCAGTGTCATCATCAGCAGCAGCAGTGTCATCATCATCAGCAGCAGTGTCATCATCAGCAGCAGCGTCATCATCAGCAGCAGCGTCATCATCAGCAGCGTCATCATCAGCAGCAGCGTCATCATCAGCAGTGTCATCATCAGCAGCAGTGTCATTATCAGCAGTGTCATCATCAGCAGCAGCGTCATCATCAGCAGCAGCGTCATCATCAGCAGCGTCGTCATCATCAGCAGCATCATCATAATCAGCAGCGTCATCATCAGCAGCAGCGTCATCATCAGCAGCGTCATCATCAGCAGCGTCGTCATCATCAGCAGCATCATCATAATCAGCAGCGTCATCATCAGCAGCAGCGTCATCATCAGCAGCAGCGTCATCATCAGCAACAGCGTCATCATCAGCAGCAGCGTCATCATCAGCGGCAGCGTCATCATCAGCGGCAGCGTCATCATCAGCGGCAGCGTCATCATCAGCGGCAGTGTCATCATCAGCAGTGTCATCAGCAGCAGTGTCATCATCAGCAGCAGCAGTGTCAGCAGCGTCATCATCAGTAGTGTCGTCATCAGCATCATCAGCAGTGTCATCATCAACAGCGTCGTCACCAGCAGCAGTGTGAGTAGCAGCAGCGTCATCATCATCAGCAGTGTCATCAGCAGCAGCATCATCATCAGCAGTGTCAGCTGATTACACTGTGTGTACGTGGTGTGTGTGTGTATGTGTGTGTGTTTGCGTGTGTGTGCGCGTGTGTGTGTACGTGGTGTGTGTGTGTATGCGTGTGTGTGTGTATGTGGCACGCTGAGGAGAGGCGGAGACCCAATGAGGTTTCAGGAAAGGACGGTCCTGCACAGATGCCATATTTTCTGTCCGTCTGCTACAGCAGAGGTATAGAGAATTCCAACAAGACCTACATCTCTGCTTTATTGATACCATCAGTAGGTCTGGGCTCTGGGTTGTGCTTCGTGCTTTTGGAGTACCTGACCCTCTGCTCACGATCATTAAGGACCTTCATGATGGTGAGTGGGCCCGGGTAAAACTACGTGGCCGGGAGTCAGAGCCATTCCCTGTGCACCTTGGGGTGCGACAGGGATGTCCTCTGGCTCCCACATTATTTAACATCTATTTTGACCATGTAGTTCGTGAAGCCTTCAATAGCTGTACCGGGGGAATCTCCATATGGTACAGATATAATGGGAGGCTGATCGACGCCCGGGTGCGGTCAAGGGATGGCTCCCTATTGCTCAACCACGTTATGTATGCTGATGATTTGGTAATTGCTGCACATTCGGACGAGGAGTTGGAGACGCTGCTGCTGAGACTGGAGCATGCCACTAAGAGGTGTGGCCTTACCATCAGCCCCACCAAAACTAAGCACCTGCCTGGGCATTTTGTACCATCGGACACTCCACCCCCACAACTCCCAATCGGTGATGGGGCAGTTGTGGAGAGAGTGGAGAGTTTCCCATACCTGGGCAGTGTGCTTATGACTGGCTCCAGTTTAACAGCAGAGGTCTCACTCTGAATCAGTCGAGCGGCAATATCTTTTAATCGGTTGCGTAACGCTGTGTGGAAGCTACCTGGTCTGTCGCTCCGCACTAAGCTTCAGGTCTTCTCGGCCACGGTCATTCCCTCCCTTCTCTACGCTTGCGAAACGTGGACCCCCCTAATGGAACATCTTCGCCGGTTAGAAACATTTAGGCTGGCCTGCCTACGATCCATCCTGGGTTTAACCAGACTGGATTGTGTGAGGAGCTCACAAATCCTTGAAAGATCTGGGCAAGGTCCCATCGGTGAGCTCCTCCGGCGGGCAAGGCTGCGATGGCTGGGTCATGTAGCCCGCATGCCCACCCACCGCATGCCGAAACAGCTTTTGTTCGGCCGGATTGAGGGGGCAAAGCGGGCGCGGCATGGGCTAGAGAAGAGATGGAGTGATGTGGTACAGGAGGACGTGGAGCTGAGTGGACTTGCCGATGACTGGTACCAGTGGTGTCAAGATCGGCCTCTGTGGAGGAGGCTCGTGAAGGATGCTACTGGGCAGTTGGAGGTAGTCGCCCTCCAACAACAACGGAGGGCGGAGGAGCGACGCTCACAACAACGAGCGGAGCGCCGGGTGGCCAAAGCACAGCAGGTTGGCACAGTAGGGGGCACAGGTGGTGCATCAGCCAGTCATCTCAGTCAGTCGACCCGTGGCACCTGGGTCTGCCCCGTGACCTCCTGCCAGCGGGCGTTCGACACTTCACGTGGCCTCAGGGTGCACATAGCCTGGCACAAGCGTCGTGGTGACGTCACCGCCACTTAGTGGCGAATGGCGGTTGTTGTTGTGTGTGTAGGTGTGTGTGAGCTCTGTGTGAGTGTGTGTGTGTGAGTGTGTGTGTGAGAGTGTGTGTGTGAGAGTGTGTGTGAGTGTGTGTGTGAGTGTGTGTAGGTGTGTGTGTGAGTGTGTGTGTGAGAGTGTGTATGAGTGTGTGTGTGAGTGTGTGTAGGTGTGAGTGTGTGTGAGTGTGTGTGTGTAGGTGTGTGTAGGTGTATAGGTGAGTGTGTGAGTGTGTGTGTGAGTGTGTGTCTGTGTGTGTGTGTGAGTGTGTGTGTAGGTGTGTGTGTGTAGGTGTGTGTGAGTGTACGTACGGTGTGGTGTCGTTGAGGAGAGTGAGCAAGGCCGCTGTGAGCTCTGAGTGTGTGTGAGTGTGTGTAGGTGTGTGTGAGTGTGTGAGTGTGTGTGTGAGTGTGTGTAGGTGTGTGTGAGTGTGTGTGAGTGTGTGTGTGAGTGTGTGTAGGTGTGTGTGAGTGTGTGTGTGTAGGTGAGTGTGTGTGAGTGTGTGTGAGTGAGTGTGTGTGTGAGTGAGTGTGTGTGAGTGTGTGTGTGTGAGTGTGTGTGAGTGTGTGTGAGCTCTGTGTGTGTGTGAGTGTGTGTGTGTGAGTGTCCGGCAAAACAACCCCCTACCTCCTCGCGGTGCCGGACGGGCAACTCTGTCGTGGACAGTGCTGTGGGGGGAGATCCAATTTTGATTGGCTCCTCCCCTCATGGCATATGTGTCCACCACAGGGGCTAAACGGGGGCTCTGGACGGGTGCGAGGGGCTGGTAACCCCTCCACCTTCAATTAATTACCACAAAACCACGAATTAAACTGAAATATGTAACTAATAAGCTTGTGCCGGAGGCCCCGGGGGGCCAGGCGTCTATGACGTCTCCTGGCCAAACCCCAATTGGCGGAGCCAGGAGATTGAATACCTACCCTCGGGGCTACTCCAGAAACAACGAAAAGCCACTACGGGTGGCCACGTGGAATGTTCGAACGCTCACTGCAGAGGAGAGGCTGCCACTCCTCTGTCGGGAGCTGGACCGGTACCGCCTGGATCTATGCGGCATTCAGGAGGTCCGGTGGACCGGCTCTGGCTCCTGCCACCATGAGGGGTGGACAGTCCTCTACTCGGGGCAGCAGACTGCCAAACAACAGGGTGTGGGTCTTCTTTTGAACAAAAGAATGAAGGGGGCGTGGGAGCGTGGCGGTGAGGTGTGGGAAGCTGTAAGCCCCAGGCTACTTTGGGCTCGCCTTCCCATCAACCGGAGGCGAGGAATGGTGGTCGTGGTTACTTATGCCCCCACCGAAGATGAACATCCGTGGAGGGATGCAGGCAAAGCCGATGAGTCAGATGCCTTCTGTGACCTCCTGTCACAGGTGCTGGCTAAAGTGGCCCCTCGGGATAGAGTCATCATGTTGGGTGACTTCAATGCCCGAGTTGGTCATGATACTGGCACCTGGTCTGGAGTGATTGGAGGGCATGGGCCAGATCAGCTCAATAACAACGGTAGGAGGCTGCTAGATTTTTGTGCAGCCCATGAGCTTGTAATTACCAACACGCTGTTCCGGCATCGGCGCATCCACACAACATCATGGATGCATGCCGGGTCCAAGCAAGAACATCTGCTGGACTACATAGTGACGGACCAGCGGATGCGAGCCCATGTCCTTGACACCAGGACCTACCGTGGAGCTGATCTGCCCTCTGACCATCGACTAGTCATCTGTAAGATGCGCCTGCCATTCTTCCACTCCGGTGGTGGGTGTACACCCAGGACCCCATTCCAACATAAAGTGGCCTGGTCTCAGTTATCTGATGAAAGTTGCAAGCGAGAATTTCATCATCGCTTGCGGCTGGGATTGGCATCGTCCCCGACTCCTCCTGATGTCGAGGGTAAATGGGCGAGGTTTAGGACTGTGACTCATGCAGCTGCAATGGCTGCTTTGGGTACGCGGTCCAGACCTCCCCAGAGACCCTGGCTGACATAGGAGGTGTTCAGGATGGTTGAGAAAAAGCGACAGGCCCACTGTCATCGGCTACAGAATCCCACGTCAGAGAATGAGGAGGCTTACCGCAGCCTTCGCTCGGAGGTTCGGAGAGCCGTGAGGCGCTGCAAGGATGGGTGGTGGTCGCGGGTTGCTGAGGAGATGGAGTCTGCCTCAGTGGCCCGTGATCACAAATCTCTATTTAACTCCATCAAAAAAGTAACCTGCAGCGCCACACCTATTACCATCATTAGGGGAAAAAACGGTGATCCAATCTCCGACCCCCAGGAACAGGTTCGTAGATTTGCTGAGCATTTCTGTGAGGTCCTGGGGGAGGGAAAATCCCTCACCCAGGAAAACATCGTGGCACAAAGTGAGGATGACCCTGCTGAGGCTGTGGTGCCTCAAATATTGGAAGAAGTCACCCCCTGTGAGTGGCTGGCTGAGGTGCCATCTGCTGAGGAAGTATTGAAGGCGATCCGAAGTCTGAGACCAGGAAAGGCAGCGGGCAGAGATGATCTCCCAAGCGAAATGCTGAGGGAGGGTGGCGTTTGTGCACAGACTGCCCTATATGACATCATAACAACAGTCTGGACCACTGGACGGGTTCCGCAGGATTGGAAGGATGCCCTGGTGGTCCCCCTTTTTAAGAAGGGGGACCGCACAGACTGTAACAACTACAGGGGCATCTCACTCCTCAGTGTGACGGGAAAGGTCCTGGCAAGGATTATTCAGCATCGCCTTGCCAGGCACGCTGAGGAGAGGCTTGCGGAGCCCCAATGCGGTTTCAGGAAAGGGCGGTCCTGCACAGATGCCATATTTTCTGTCCGTCTGCTACAGCAGAGGTGTAGGGAATTCCAACAAGACCTACATCTCTGCTTTATTGACCTGGTCAAGGCCTATGATACCATCAGTAGGCCTGGGCTCTGGGTCGTTCTTCGTGCTTTTGGAGTACCTGACCCTCTGCTGACGATCATTAAGGACCTTCATGATGGTGAGCGGGCCCGGGTAAAACTACGTGGCCGGGAGTCAGAGCCATTCCCTGTACACCTTGGGGTGCGACAGGGATGTCCTCTGGCTCCCACATTATTTAACATCTATTTTGACCACGTAGTTCGTGAAGCCTTCAATAGCTGTACCGGGGGAATCTCCATATGGTACAGATATAATGGGAGGCTAATCGATGCCCGGGTGCGGTCAAGGGATGGCTCCCTATTGCTCAACCACGTTATGTATGCTGATGATTTGGTAATAGCTGCTCAGTCAGAGGAGGAGTTGGAGACGCTGCTGCTGAGACTGGAGCGTGCCACTAAGAGGTGGGGCCTTACCATCAGCCCCACCAAAACTAAGCACCTGCCTGGGTATTTTGTACCATCGGACACTCCACCCCCACAACTCCCAATCGGTGATGGGGCAGTTGTGGAGAGAGTGGAGAGTTTCCCATACCTGGGCAGTGTGCTTATGACTGGCTCCAGTTTAACAGCAGAGGTCTCACTCCGAATCAGTCGAGCGGCAATATCTTTTCATCGGTTGCGTAACGCTGTGTGGAAGCTACCTGGTCTGTCGCTCCGCACTAAGCTTCAGGTCTTCTCGGCCACGGTCATTCCCTCCCTTCTCTACGCTTGCGAAACGTGGACCCCCCTAATGGAACATTTTCGCCGGTTAGAAACATTTAGGCTGGCCTGCCTACGATCCATCCTGGGTTTAACCAAACTGAATTGTGTGAGGAGCTCACAAATCCTTGAAAGATCTGGGCAGGGTCCCATCGGTGAGCTCCTCCGGCAGGCAAGGCTGCGATGGCTGGGTCATGTAGCCCGCATGCCCAGCCACCGCATGCCGAAACAGCTTTTGTTTGGCCGGATTGAGGGGGCTAAGCGGGCGCGGCACGGGCTAGAGAAGAGATGGAGTGATGTGGTACAGGAGGACGTGGAGCTGAGTGGACTTGCCGATGACCGGTACCAGCGGTGTCAAGATCGGCCTCTATGGAGGAGGCTCGTGAAGGATGCTACTGGGCAGTTGGAGGTAGTCGCCCTCCAACAACAACGGAGGGCGGAGGAGCGACGCTCAGAACAACGAGCGGAGCGCCGGGTGGCTAAAGCACAGCAGGTTGGCACAGTAGGGGGCACAGGTGGTGCATCAGCCGGTCATCTCAGTCAGTCGACCCGTGGCACCTGGGTCTGCCCCGTGACCTCCTGCCAGCGGGCGTTCGACACTTCACGTGGCCTCAGGGTGCACATAGCCTGGCACAAGCGTCGTGGTGACGTCACCGCCACTTAGTGGCGAATGGCGGTTGTTGTTGTTGTAGGTGTGTGTAGGTGTGTGTGTGAGTGTGTGTGAGTGTGTGTAGGTGTGTGTAGGTGTGTGAGTGTGTGTGTGAGTGTGAGTGTGTACGTACGGTGTGGTGTCGTTGAGGATAGTGAGCAGGGCCGCTGTGAGCTCTGAGTGTGTGTGAGTGTGTATAGGTGTGTGTGTAGGTGTGAGTGTGTGTGAGTGTGTAGGTGTGTGTGTGTGAGTGTGTGTGAGTGTGTGTGTGAGCTCTGAGTGTGTGTGTGTGTGTGAGTGTGTGTGTAGGTGTGTGTGTGTGTACGTACGGTGTGGTGTCGTTGAGGATAGTGAGCAGGGCCGCTGTGAGCTCTGTGTGTGAGTGTGTGTAGGTGTGTGTAGGTGTGTGAGTGTGTGTGTGAGTGTGTGTGAGTGTGTGTGTGTGTGAGTGTGTGTGTAGGTGTGTGAGTGTGTGTGAGTGTGTGAGTGTACGTACGGTGTGGTGTCGTTGAGGATAGTGAGCAGGGCCTCTGTGAGCTCCGAGTGGCTGCCCCCACGCCTCACGGCGACGCTGAACGCGGCCTTGCCGTGACGCAGCTTGCCCCAGGGAGTGTCCAGCAACGCGTTACTCAGCCCGTACTCACCTACACACTCACCCACACTCACCTATACTCACCTGTACTCACCTACACACTCACCCACACTCACCTATACTCACCTGTACTCACCAATACACTCACCTATACACTCACCTACACTCACCTGTACTCACCTACACACTCACCTATACACTCACCTACACACTCACCTATACACTCACCTGTACTCACCTATACACTCACCTATACACTCACCTATACACTCACCTACACTCACCTATACACTCACCTGTACTCACCTATACACTCACCTACACACTCACCCACACTCACACTCACCTACACACTCACCCACACTCACCTATACACTCACCTGTACTCACCTATACACTCACCTACACACTCACCCACACTCACCTATACTCACCTGTACTCACCTGTACTCACCAATACACTCACCCACACTCACCTATACACTCACCTGTACTCACCTATACACTCACCTACACACTCACCTATACTCACCTACACACTCACCTACACTCACCTACACACTCACCTACACTCACCTACACTCACCTACACACTCACCTATACTCACCTACACACTCACCTACACTCACCTACACACTCACCCACACTCACCTACACTCACCCACACTCACCTACACTCACCCACACTCACCCACACTCACCTACACTCACCAATACACTCACCTATACACTCACCCACACTCACCTACACACTCACCTACACACTCACCTACACTCACCAATACACTCACCTACACACTCACCTACACACTCACCTACACTCACCAATACACTCACCTATACTCACCTGTACTCACCTATACACTCACCTATACTCACCTACACACTCACCAATACACTCACCTACACACTCACCTATACACTCACCAATACACTCACACACACTCACCTATACACTCACCTACACACTCACCTATACTCACCTGTACTCACCTATACACTCACCTATACTCACCTATACACTCACCTACACACTCACCTGTACTCACCTGTACTCACCTATACTCACCTACACACTCACCCACACTCACCTATACTCACCTGTACTCACCTATACACTCACCTATACACTCACCCACACTCACCCTGTACACTCACCCACACTCACCTATACACTCACCTATACACTCACCTACACACTCACCCACACTCACCTATACTCACCTACACTCACCCACACTCACCTATACTCACCTACACTCACCAATACACTCACCTACACACTCACCTACACACTCACCCACACTCACCTATACTCACCTGTACTCACCTACACACTCACCTACACACTCACCCACACTCACCCACACTCACCTACACTCACCTATACTCACCTATACACTCACCTACACTCACCTACACACTCACTCACACTCACCTATACACTCACCTATACACTCACCTATACACTCACCTATACACTCACCTACACTCACCTACACTCACCCACACTCACCTATACACTCACCTATACACTCACCTATACACTCACCTACACTCACCTACACACTCACCTACACACTCACCTACACACTCACCCACACTCACCTATACACTCACCTGTACTCACCTACACACTCACCCACACTCACCTGTACTCACCTATACACTCACCTATACTCACCTGTACTCACCTACACACTCACCCACACTCACCTACACTCACCTACACTCACCTATACACTCACCTACACACTCACCCACACTCACTTATACTCACCTGTACTCACCTATACACTCACCTATACTCACCTGTACTCACCTATACACTCACCTATACACTCACCTATACACTCACCCACACTCACCTATACACTCACCTACACACTCACCCACACTCACCTACACTCACCTGTACTCACCTATACACTCACCTATACTCACCTACACACTCACCTACACTCACCTACACTCACCAATACACTCACCTACACACTCACCCACACTCACCTATACACTCACCTATACTCACCCACACTCACCCTGTACTCACCCTGTACTCACCTACACACTCACCTATACTCACCTACACACTCACCTACACACTCACCCACACTCACCTATACTCACCCACACTCACCTATACACTCACCTATACACTCACCTACACACTCACCTACACTCACCCTGTACTCACCTACACACTCACCTACACTCACCCTGTACTCACCTATACACTCACCTACACTCACCTATACACTCACCTGTACTCACCTACACACTCACCCACACTCACCCACACTCACCTACACTCACCAATACACTCACCCTGTACTCACCTACACACTCACCTATATACTCACCCTGTACTCACCTACACACTCACCCACACTCACCTATACTCACCTGTACTCACCTACACACTCACCTATATACTCACCCTGTACTCACCTACACACTCACCCACACTCACCTATACTCACCTGTACACTCACCCACACTCACCTATACACTCACCCACACTCACCTATACACTCACCCACACTCACCTATACACTCACCTACACACTCACCTACACTCACCTACACTCACCAATACACTCACCTATATACTCACCCTGTACTCACCTACACACTCACCCACACTCACCCTGTACACTCACCCACACTCACCCACACTCACCTATACACTCACCTGTACTCACCTACACACTCACCCACACTCACCTACACACTCACCCACACTCACCTACACTCACCTACACACTCACCTACACTCACCCTGTACTCACCTACACACTCACCCACACTCACCCTGTACACTCACCCACACTCACCCACACTCACCTATACACTCACCTGTACTCACCTACACACTCACCCACACTCACCTACACACTCACCCACACTCACCTACACTCACCTACACACTCACCTAAACTCACCCTGTACTCACCTACACACTCACCCACACTCACCCTGTACACTCACCCACACTCACCCACACTCACCTATACACTCACCTGTACTCACCTACACACTCACCCACACTCACCTACACACTCACCCACACTCACCTACACTCACCTACACACTCACCTACACTCACCCTGTACTCACCTACACACTCACCCACACTCACCTATACACTCACCTACACTCACCCTGTACTCACCTACACACTCACCCACACTCACCTATACACTCACCTACACACTCACCCACACTCACCTATACACTCACCTATACACTCACCCACACTCACCTATACACTCACCCACACACTCACCCACACTCACCTATACACTCACCCACACTCACCTATACTCACCTACACTCACCTACACACTCACCCACACTCACCTATACACTCACCCACACTCACCCACACTCACCTATACACTCACCCACACTCACCTATACACTCACCTATACACTCACTCACACTCACCCTGTACTCACCTACACACTCACCCACACTCACCTATACACTCACCTGTACTCACCTACACACTCACCCACACTCACCTATACTCACCTACACTCACCCACACTCACCTATACACTCACCCACACTCACCCTGTACACTCACCTACACTCACCCACACTCACCTATACACTCACCTACACTCACCCACACTCACCTATACACTCACCCACACTCACCTATACACTCACCCACACTCACCCTGTACACTCACCTACACACTCACCCACACTCACCTATACACTCACCTACACACTCACCCACACTCACCCTGTACTCACCTACACACTCACCCACACTCACCTATACTCACCTGTACTCACCTACACACTCACCTATATACTCACCCTGTACTCACCTACACACTCACCCACACTCACCCTGTACTCACCTACACACTCACCCACACTCACACTCACCTACACACTCACCTACACACTCACCCACACTCACCTATACACTCACCTATACACTCACCTATACACTCACCCACACTCACCCTGTACTCACCTACATACTCACCCACACTCACCTATACACTCACCTATACACTCACCTATACACTCACCTATACACTCACCTACACACTCACCTACACACTCACCCTGTACTCACCCACACACTCACCTACACTCACCTACACACTCACCCACACACTCACCTACACTCACCTACACACTCACCCACACTCACCTATACACTCACCTACACTCACCTACACACTCACCCACACTCACCCACACACACACTCACCTACACACTCACCTACACACTCACCCACACTCACCTATACACTCACCTACACATTCACCCACACTCACCTATACACTCACCTATACACTCACCTATACACTCACCTACACACTCACCTACACACTCACATACACTCACCTACACTCACCTACACTCACCCACACTCACCCACACTCAACTATACACTCACCTATACACTCACCTACACTCACCTACACACTCACCCACACTCACCCACACACACACTCACCTACACACTCACCTACACACTCACCCACACTCACCTATACACTCACCTACACATTCACCCACACTCACCTATACACTCACCTATACACTCACCTACACACTCACCTACACACTCACATACACTCACCTACACTCACCTACACTCACCCACACTCACCCACACTCAACTATACACTCACCTATACACTCACCTACACACTCACCCACACTCACCCACACTCACCTACACACTCACCCTGTATTCACCTCCACACTCACCTACACACTCACCTACACACTCACCTACACACTCACCCTGTACTCACCCACACACTCACCCACACACTCACCCACACTCACCTACACACACCCACACTCACCTGTACTCACCTACACACTCACCTACACTCACCTACACACTCACCTACACACTCACCCACACACTCACCCACACTCACCCTGTACTCAACTACACACTCACCAATACTCACCCACACTCACCCACACTCACCTACACACTCACCCACACTCACCCACACTCACCTACACACTCACCCACACTCACCCACACTCACCAATACTCACCCACACTCACCCACACTCACCTACACACTCACCCACACTCACCCACACTCACCCACACTCACCCTGTACTCAACTACACACTCACCAATACTCACCCACACTCACCCACACTCACCTACACACTCACCCACACTCACCCACACTCACCCACACTCACTCACCCACGTGGTGATTGTGTGTGGCCTCTCCTCACCAGGCTGTAGTGAAACAGGCGCTGCATTGCCACGGTTACTGTAGTACCACAGCTCATCACAGCCACCACCATCACCGCCATCACCACCATCACCACCATCACCATCACCACTCCTGGGGTGGGGAGACGGGGGAGGAGACATCGCACCACCCGATACTCACCCACAGTGGTGAGCGTGGGGAGTGGAGGTGGTGAGGGGCAGGTGGTGAGGAGGTGGAGGTGAGGAGGTGCAGGTGGTGAAGAGGTGGATGTGGTGGTGAGGAGGTGGATGTGGTGGTGGTGAGGAGGTGCAGGTGGTGAAGAGGTGGATGTGGTGGTGGTGGTGGTGAGGAGGAGGTAAGGAGGTGGTGACGAGGTGGTGGTGGTGAGGAGGTGGTGAGGAGGTGGTGGTGGTGAGGAGGAGGTGGTGGTGAGGAGGTGGTGA